CTTTTGAAATGTTTTACTTTACATGTAATGAATCTAGAATATATGAAAGTTTCACTTTTTGAAATGTTACCAAATAAAAATGAACTTTTTCACGATATTCTAATTTTTTGAGGTGCACCTGTGTGTATGTGTGTATATATATATATTTATATATATATATATTTTGGGCGGGGGGTGGAAGAAGAAATTATAGAAATTAATACTTTTATTTAGCAAGGATGCTATGATATGATAGAAAGTTGTTTTCAGCTGTTTTCAATAATAAATGTTTTTTGAGCAGCAAATCAGAATATTAGAATGATTTTTGAAGGATGGAGTAATGGTACTAAAAATTCAGCTTTGAAATCACAGGAATAAATTACATTTTAAAATATATTCAAATAAAACAGCTATGTTAAATGGTAAAAATATTTCAAAATTTTACTGTTTTTGCTGTACTTTGGATCAAATAAATGCAGGCTTGGTGAGCAGAAGAGACTTCTTTAAAAAAACTTTAAAATTCTTACTGTTCAAAAATTTTTTTGACTGGTAGTGTATTTTAATATGTAATTTATTCCTGTGATGCAAAGGTGAATTTTCAGCAGCCATTACTCCAGTCGTCAGTGTCACATGATCCTCCAGAAATTATTTTAATATGCTGATTATTATTATTGTCATTGTTGAAAACAAATGTGCTGCTTAATATTTTTGTGGAAACCAAGATATATAGATATATATTAGGATAGTTTGATGAATAGAAAGCTCAAAAACAGCATTTATTTGAAATTGATATATTTTGTAACATCATAAATATATTTACTGTTCATTTTGATCTTTTGATCAATTTAATGCATCCTTGCTGAATAAAAAGATTGAATTTCTTTAAAAAACTGACTGGCCCCAAACTTTTGAACAGTAGTGTACATTTCTTATAAATATTGAAAGTAAATTTGTATAGTCTGCAGATGTCTGCTGACGGATAGCTCTGAATCACTGATTAATGCCGCATGTCTGGCACATCATGCTCTTCACAGATTTACACAATGTGTTTAGAGTCATTCTTTTTTAATTGGTCTTCAGTTAGGCAATGAAAAGACATGCGTATTTTAATAGTCTGGTCTTGGACAAATTGCTGTGCCATTCATCTATTTCCAGAATGTCCTGTAACTTCTTTGCTTTCTAAAGTCCTAAATCTGACATTTAAAGAGGATTCAGCATCACAGTTCACAGTTTAACTAGCATCACAGTTCACAGTTTAACAGCACACTCTTGTGGAATGTAACTGATAGGGAGAGCTTGTTGATCTACTTTGTCCTGTTTCCCAATTTACATGTCCGCGCCAGCTGTACACACAATCTTACTGCATATAAAAAATGTTTCTAAAGGTTGAGGCAAACAACCTGTCTAAATTATCATTAAAAACTACAAGTACAAAACTAATTAAATGCAGAACATATAGCTTCATCTGTAAGGATTAGATATCTTAATTTCAACATTATCAGGTCCTACAATCAAGTCCTTACAAACACTGAAAGTCATCGACGGGTAGGTAAATGATGCAGCAAAAGTTACTCCAAAAGCATACACAAAAACATATGCTATCTGTGACTCATTGTGCATGGGAAAATTGAACTGATTTTCACGTTTTTTTCCCCCTCTCAGGTTGAGTAAAACCATACTAGCCCTCCCGGGGTCCAGGGGCAGTAGTTGTGGCAGATCCCTTGCCAAGCACAGGACTGCAGACACTCCTCATTTCTGATGAATTCCATATGCGCTCCGCCTGCAGTTACTGCTGCTCTTGAAACATCCTAGCACATTTCTTCCATTACACCTCATTATCTATCCCCCTTTCATCCAAAACAATAACATATGCAGGCACACACACTGGTAGATGACGATCTTTCTATAAACATTCAGAGAACATTTTGTGCGGTATTCCTGGTAATATTTAAATCATCGTAATCTATCTATAATCATTTTTGTTGCGAACAATTATTACGCCCTCTTTGCAAAACTTGATTCTCATTGGTCAATCGTATCAATTGTACTGAAAATGCACTTCAGTATTATTACTGTTGTTTCATTGTTTGTCTTGTTGGTAGGCCAGGTGTTTTGTACATGGATTACTTTTTTCTTAGAAGAAATTTTAGATTATTTTAGAAGATAATTTCAACTCAAATAATTATTTCTTATCCACCATGTTTAGTCGAAATAATGTGCAGCCAGTCGATCTTTAGCCTATATATTTAGCAGTTTTCTTATTAGAATGTGGCAGGCTTCCGATTCATTAGCTAGTGTAGCTAAATGTAGCTAAAGCTTAACAAAGTGTAGTGACGTGAAACTATTTGCACTACAAACCCAGTGTGCTTATGACAATTAATTTAAATAATATGATAAGAAATACAACTTTGCAGTCTCAAGCAGCATAACGGACTGTTCCCTTTTATAGGTTCACGTCAATGCTGCGATGACGTCATCGCTATGGGAACACATCTGGTGTGACGAATGTCTAAAGCCCTTATACCATCACGCCAATTTCATTGGCCAAATAGCGCTTAGTACCACCCCTCGCGTACATCACGTATGCTCTATCAGCGTGCTGCGCACTATTTCATCAGATTTCATTTCCTTCAGGAAGCAGATCATCTGTTGCCCGTAGGAAAGCATTCTTTTCGTCGTGTTCTCAGCTATTTTCATTAAGAGCAGTTTACTCCTCTTTAGCGGACACGATGAGCTACAGGAGATGCATTGAGCCGTTCGAGAGGTTCATCGCATGAGGAGA